ATTACTCGTGTTGGTATTTTATCAAACACTTGACACCCATCATTTATGCCTTCGATTGCCACAAGTAACATCGACTCAGTTTTAGGGTTGTTTTGGTCTTGCTCTGCCATCTTCCCTGTCAAGACCCTTAGAATCTGAACGAAATAGCACTTATTCTTTGTAATCCTTGTCTTTAGTTACTGATATTAGTTCACTAGCTTTGATAATTCGTCAATCTGGTTTTGAATCACAGAAAGTGCAGAGGATTCAACCATTGTTTTGTCAAGAGTTGTGGCTCTGGATACCATTTGTTATGTTTATGCTGGAAAAAGAAGATCAACGAAGGAGAATAAAAGAACGGAGATAAGGAAGAGAAGAGAAATAAAGAAGAGAAGAGAGGTTCAAGAGAATCCAAAAATGCATTCATTCAAATCATGAGGAAAGCCCTACTCAGTACATTATTTTATATACTTACATTGTACCAATCCTATCCCATTTATCAGCTGGCAATACAGCTGTAGCTAACATTTTGATTCCCTTATAGGTGATGCTGGGTGTTGCTGGCGTGACTCTCTTCACTGCTTGTAGTACCAATCTCTCAATTGAAATTTCTAACCCTATTTCCAATTTTTCTAATTCTTTTCCGTCTTCTCCGATTTTTGTATCTCTCGTGATCATGACAGATAGATGCTTATGACACAAATGGGAAAATATTGAAGGACATTCGAGGGGATATCGATTTGAAGGATGTTTGTTTCAGTTATCCAGCAAGACCGGATGAGCAAATTTTCAGTGGATTCTCTCTTTCCATTCGCAGTGGCACTAAAGCTGCTCTGGTTGGACAAAGTGGAAGCGGGAAATCAACTGTCATCAGTCTCATAGAGAGATTTTATGATCCACAATCCGGTGAAGTCCTTATCGATGGCATCAAGTCCTAGAATGTCGTTAGAGAGAGATTTTATGATCCACAATCCGGTGAAGTCCTTATCTATGGCACCAAGTCCTAGAATGTCGTTGGAGAAATCTATCAGTAGAGGTTCTTCTAGAGCAGGAAGTATATCTACAGGACGGAATGTCACCGATAATCTGTTGGCCGATGCAAAAGCTCCTCCTACAGTACCACCAGTACAGGCTTCGGAAGTCTCAATTCATCGGCTTGCATCTCTCAATACGCCGGAGATTCCTGTGCTGCTACTTGGAACTATAGCTTCAGTTGTCAATGGATTAATCCTTCCTGTTTATGCACTACTCCTTTCTGAGGTCATCAAAACCTTTTACAAACCACCTAATGAACTTCGAACGGATTCAAGATTCTGGGCACTGATATTTATGGCCCTTGGCTTGGCCTCATTATTGGCATATCCAGCAGAAACATACCTCTTTTCTGTTGCTGGATGTAAACTAATCCAGCGAGTAAGATCAATGTGTTTTCAGAAAGTGATTCACATGGAGGTCGGTTGGTTTGATGAACCCGAGCACTCAAGTGGTTCACTTGGAGCAAGGCTCTCGGCAGATGCAGCAACATTACGTGCTCTAGTTGGAGATGCACTAAGCAAAATTGTTCAAAGTATTGTATCAGCCATTGCAGGTTTGGTCATTGATTTCATTGCAAGTTGGCAGTTGGCTTTGATCGTCCTCACACTTTTCCGCTCATAGGGATCGACGGGTACATTCAAGTGAAATTCATGAAGGGATTTAGTGCAGATGCAAAGGTGTGCCTAAAGCTAATGACCTGCAATCTATTCCTGCACCTTGTTTAACACTATGAACTCCAAGGTGGAAATGGTAATCGCATACCACACATTTATATAAATTCTTCATAGAGTGAAAACTGTATGCTTTTAACAATACAATTTATCTTAATGCAAGTCTAATTGTCTGCACACGATGTACGAGGAAGCAAGCCAAGTTGCGAATGATGCAGTCGGGGGTATAAGAACAATTGCTTCCTTCTGCGCTGAGGAGAAAGTGATGCGTCTTTACAAAAGGAAATGCCAACACCCGAAGAAGACGGAGATAAGGCAGGGTTTGATCAGCGGAATAGGATTCGGGCTGTCGTCCTTCTTAATGTATTCTGTTTATGCGACAAGTTTCTATGTCGGAGCTCAACTTGTGGAGCATGATCATGCTACTTTCTCAGATGTTTTTCAAGTAACTCTTCTTTCTCGTTCGAATTATCTCGTAAACCTTTTATGAGACTACCGAAATTCTTTCAAAATGTTTAATTGATAATGAAATTAATATCCATCCCCCAGGTTTTCTTTGCTTTGACGATAGCATCTATTGCAATCAGTCAATATAGCACTTTTGGCTCTGATTCCAACAAAGCAAAGACAGCCGCAGCTTCCATATTCGCAATTATCGATTGGAGGTCTAAGATTTCTAATGTGACGACTCAGGGGTGATATTAGAAAATGTGAAAGGCGAAATCGAGCTTTCTAATGTGAGCTTTAAGTATCCATTAAGTCCAGACATTCAAATTTTCCAAGACTTATGCTTGGCTATTCCTGCTGGCAAGGTAAATCATCCATTGCATTCTGAGCTTAATCTCTTTCAACTTTCAGCATACTTCACAAAATTGATCTTATAGGGTCTAACTTTTCATGATGTGATTCTCTTGTCTCAGACAATTGCTTTAGTTGGAGAAAGCGGCTGTGGAAAGTAGACCGTGATCGCACTATGGCAGAGATTTTATGATCTAGATTCAGGTCTTATTACACTAGATGGAGTTGAAATACAAAAGCTGCAATTAAAATGGTTGAGGCAACAAATGGGACTTGTAAGCTAAGAACCTGTTTTGTTCAACGACACCATACGTGCCAACATCGCATACGGAAAGGGAGGGAATGCAACCAAGGCCGAAGTTTTAGCTGCATCAGAGCTCGCCAATGCTCACAACTTCATTAGTGGTCTACAACAGGTGAGAAATTCTAAAGCATTGCGCTAGCTAGCTTCATGAATGAGTAAAAAATTTCTCCTAACCTTTGTTTCAATTCATATTACAGGATTATGATACCGTAGTAAGGGAGAGGGGGGTTCAATTGTCAGGTGGGCAGAAGCAGCGAGTAGCGATCGCACGAGCCATAAGAGTCCAAAGATATTACTCTTTGATGAAGCCATAAGTGCATTGGATGCTGAATCAGAACAAGTGGTTCAGGAAGAACTAGACCGAGTCATGGTGAACCGCACGACTGTTGTCGTTGCGCATTGGTTGTCAACAATCAAGAAGGCAGATGTTATTGCAGTGCTTAGAATGGGGTTATTGTGGGGTTATTGTGGAGAAAGGAAAGCATGAGACCTTGATAAACATCAAAGACGGTTTCTACGCTTCCTTGGTGGCACTTCACATGACTGCTTCATCATCATAAAGGACTAAAATAGGAACTTTCTTATTCTTTGTGTTGTAGTAAATTGCAACTAATATTATGCAAAGTACATAATGCAATACGCATTTTATTTCTTAATATGAGAGGAGAACAAATGTACGATAGCTTTATAATTGTACTATTGAGTTTCAGGTTTTTAAAATATTTTTGTTTGAAAACGAAGGAGATTTTTATCTTATCCAAACACATCAAAAAAATGCAATATGCATTTTTTTTATCCTAAACTTAATAAAAAAAATATCCGACCTGCCGGATTCGAACCAGCGACCTAAGGATTTCAGACAGGATAATCTCCTACTACAGTCCTCCGCTCTACCAACTGAGCTAAGGTCGGACCCTGTTTCCGGTAGAACAATTTAAATCTAGTATTTATAGATTGAAACTGAACCACTTCCAACACAACCATATTTCTAACTCTTCTCCCAACCATTTCCATTTATCATTATGGGTGTTCCCTATGCAATTTTTACCCATTGTTTCGGGTTTTTCACTTCAATAATATTTTTTATTATTTAATAAAATAACACAAAACCAAATTACTTAGGAAAATAACACACATTTGTACAAGATAAAGCAAAGTTACACTTTCCGTAAAGAGCGTATTAAAAATATTTAAAAAAAAATTGTGTGAATTTTATCTAAAAAGAAAAAATATACATGGCACAAGTCAATTAAAAACACAATATATATACAAGGTTTATCCTCAATTGTTCAATAAGTACATAGTTTAGCTAACGTATTTGCCACCTAATTCTACATATAGAAAATTTGATGTATTTGAGTCTTCAGATCATCTTAAATCAAATAATGAATTAAACCCAAAAAAGCATAATCTCGTAGAGTGTTTCACCTTCCTTACACCACTCCAACAGTTTTTCCTTGTCCATTTCAATCTTGATCTTTCATACACCTAATCTTTTAACATGATGAAAAGTTTCGTGGAATGCATAAATTCAGAAACTAATGACTAGATTAATAGAACTATAGATAATACACTGTTAATCACTTTCGTTTAAAATATTTAAAAATTAATTTTTGATTTAGATCATAATATAAAGATAATTAATTATATTAAGGGTAAACTATGCTAATGGTCACTAATGTTTGGGTTAGTGTTCGTTTTCATCACTGATGTTTCAAAAGTCACAAATCGGTCACTAACGTTATCGTTTGTTATAAAATGATCACTCGACATTAACAACTGTTAACAATCGTTACTACAGTAACAGAATACTGATGTGGCACGTTGAACCAACTGACTCAACATGTTTGACTGGCCATTTGACTTCAGCATGTTTGACCGACCGTTTAACTCTTCTTCTTCTTCGGCCACTGAAATTATTCCGAGCAATATTATTCCTCAAATTCAGCAAACTAATAGTAATTAACACATATATGGGAAGGAAGAGAACCATTAAAGTAATTCGAGGAAATATCAAAGCTTCGAATTGAAGGAAGATTGATGCTTCCCGGGATTGGCCTAGAAAAATCATTATTGCTCAAGCCAAGTTGCTCCAAATTCAACATACGAAACAAAGATAGTGACAATGAATCTTTAAGGAAATTATGTGAAACATTGAGAATTTTAAGCTGATATAAACCAGCCAAAGCATTAGATAATTTCTCCATTTAACAGAAGTAGGAGAACATCACTCCAGCCGGTTCAAAAAGTGCAGTAAGTTATGAAATTTCTCCATTTTTTTTTCATTTTTTTCAATATTTAGTAATTGTTTACTACTTTTTTTCAAATGAAAAAGTTTGATTCGATTCATTTAGGTTTTATTTTGGTTGAATTTTAGGAATTGAATGAATCAAAGGCTGAGCTGCTCAGTAGAATTCAAGGGTTGAAACAGGTATTTATGGGGGGGTTCATTTTCTTTATTTTTGGTTTATAATATTTGAATTCTGAGTAGAAAATAACCTTTTTCTTTATTTTTCCAACAGGATCTGCAAAATTAGAGAAAAAGTTAAAGAAATTAGGGCCATGGCTAGGGAAGCAAGGGAAATCGAGAAGAAAGAACAGAAAAACCATAATGAAGAAGGTGACATGCTTGATGAAGCTTTGAATTCTAAGTCGAAATTGGGGATCGAAAAGGAGATTGTGCTAGATTGAATATTTTAGAGAAGAAGTAGAATTCTAAGAGAGAGAGAGAGAGCTTTCCAGGGTCGTTTATAGGTTTATTGGATAAGTTAAAGGATGGTGAAGATGTAAAAGATGTGAATAAAATGTTGTTTGTGAAGAAGAAGTTTAAATTCAGAGGGCCTGAAAAGATTTCTAGCAATGGAACAAAGGGTGAAAAGATTTCTAGCAATGGCACAAAGGGTGAAAAGATTTCTAGCAATGGCACAAAGGGTTTTTCCGGTTTAAAGATAGGTAACAAATCGAGCTATGATAATAGTACAACTACTAGTGTTTCTGCGATTGAGAAAGTGGATGATGGAAAGACAGTTGGTAAGAAGAAGGAGAAGAAGAGTTAAACTGTCGGTCAAATATATTGAGTCAGTGTGTTTAACGTGTCACGTAAGTATTACATTACTGTAGTAATGATTATTAGTTGTTGTTAACTTTGAGTGATCATTTTGTAACAAAAGATAATGTTAATAATCGATTTGTGACTTTTAAAACATCAATGATGAAAACGAACACTAATTCAAACATTAATGACCATTAACGTAGTTTACCCTTATATTAATTATGGTGTATAATATGATCCGATGATTAATGTTTTCGGGTTGTAATAGTTTTATTCTTGAATCATATATATATATATTAATAGAAGCCTTTAGCTTTATTAAAAATATAAAATATTCAAATTACAATGAAGGTTTAAGGTTTACAACTATAACCGTAACCTAAACACATAATAAATACAATTCATATAATCATTAATACAAAAAAGTTAGTCACTTACCATCACAAAAGGACCAAACAAAAAAAAAGTTAGAAATCTAATAAAAAAAATTCGAACAAAAAATAGATACTAATAGATCCGACTGCATCGATAAAATGAACCACAAATGGGGATCAAGCTATTGAAGACCACCGACAAATCACAAATGAGATTCGAGCGACGTGAAAAAACTATTAACGAACGCAAATCATGTATCTAAATTCAATCTGATGATCTAAAGTAGGAAAAATCAACATGATTACAAATAAGTTTTATCTTAATCAGTTGTGACAATGTCAAATCCAACTTTAAAAAAAAAGATAAACGAAAATAATAATCAAATGACCGAAAATATACAATAAATACAAAAAAAAAATCATAAAAGAAAAATTATTAATTAAAAAAAATTATTAGACGATGTTGCACCAAAAGATTTTATCAGTCAAGAGAAGTTCCTACTACAGTCATCCGCTCTACCAACAGAGATAAGGTCGGATACTGATGTTGAGACAACAATTCAATTTTAGTTTTAATAGACTAAAATAGAAAGCATTTCCAACACATTCCTATTTCTTACTCTTCTCCCAACAATCATAGATTAGGTATGCATACGAGTAGGTGGATAATAGTATATTTGAAAATTTAAATTTTTTATATTTTTTATTGATAATATAATTTTATCTCTTAAGATTTTATAACTTTACTCTTATATAATATTTTCTGTTTGTCCATGAGACCAATACTCTCTTTATATTCTTTTTAGTTAGTTAAATATTATAAATTTTTTAAAAATTCTAATATAAATGATTATACAAATAAAAAAGTATTTTTTATATATTTTTTTCAAGATAGAAAGTATGTGTTTGATATAAATTTACTTAACTTGAAATGTAATATTGAATTCTCGTAATATCAATATTATACTAATAATATCATTTCATGACGTTAATCATCAATTTAGGTTTTAAATTAATATATAAAACATATTTAAAATACATAATTCTGTCATATATATGTGTGTATTTATTGCATAAATAATTTAAATTTGATAGATTAAAAAATCAAATAATATCATTCAAATTTATGAATGTTATTTCCTTTTTCTTTTTATAATTTGATCAATGCGTATTAAATATACTCTTATCATATTTTAGATGGCATTTAATGCACAAATTAGTGACTACACTAATTGAATGACTTAAATTATATATTATTATTTTAATTAAAAATATTTTAAAATTATAAAAAACTAATTTTAAATTTAGATTTACTTTAAGAATATAGGATACAATAAATCTATTTATATTAATTTTGGAATATAATATGATTCCAATGTTTAGTATAGTAGTATAATCATATGTATTTGTTTTTTATTGATAAAATCCTAATCCTAATCCTACTTACAAGTAGGAGTGTAAATGAACTGAATGTTCGGTGAACTGTTCATGAACCGTTCAATTAAAGCTCGTTTATGTTCGTTTATTAAGGTAAATAAACCAACAACAACATAATTTTTATGATCGTTTACTAAATGAACTAACACGGACAGATGTGTGTTGGATTCGTCTATATTCACGAACAAGCTTGTTTATGAGCTCATTTATCTTTTTATATTTTAAATATTGGTGAATATATATATACTAAATTGAACATATAATAAAATTTAAAGTTTAAAATATAAATCCTAATAAGTTTAAGAACCAGTGGCATAATTTCAGCATTTTCCCTTAATACAACGAAAAAAAACCCTTTCCCTTCCGGTGAAAGGCTTTCACAGTTTCACTCTTTTTTCTAATTTCAGCCGCTGTTGAAGTCTCTTCCCCTCCCCCTTTTTCATAAACTTTGTCAACCATAAACCTTATTTTGCAACACCGTGATCTACACCGTCGATGCCTTTGTGCTCGTCGTATCGTCCCGATCATAACGGTAGTTCTATACGTGTCGGTCGTTTTCATTTACTTACTTTACAAAATACAAATCTCTGTTTTAATTTTACTTTCAACTCTTGATTTTTGTGTGTGGGAATTTTATGTGGATTAATATTTAATTTTAGTTTCATGATTACTCGATCAATGATTTGGGGCTTGGTTGATAGTATTTTAAGAGTTTTGTTTTGTGGTTAGATTCAAATGAACCTTGATTTGGTTTGTTGTTGGCTGCTTTGAAGACTTTTATGAGTAATAGAGAATCTCTGGTTAGTATATAATTTTATTTTGTTGGTTAGATTCAAAGGATTTCTCAGGACTGTTATACGACAAATGGAGTTTTGGGATATTTAAGTTTTGCTGCTAGTTTACTGGAAATTATTGACATAGCTTTGGTAATTTGGTTTCATCGTGTACAATGAAAATTTTCACTAAATATTAACTATATTTATTTAATGATTGTGTTGTTATATAAACGAACACGAATGTTAACCGAACATGTTTACGGACGTTAAATGAACATTAAACGAATATGTTTATGAATATTAAATAAACGCTAAACGAATATATTATTGAACGTTAAATGAACACTAAATGAACATGTTCACGAATGAACATATTCACAAACACTAAACGAACATGTTCGTGAATGTTAAACAAACGAACACGAAAAATATCAAAAATAAATAAACGAACACGAACACGATATTAAAAATTTAAACGAACACGAATCGAACATGAATATCTTAAAAAACAAACGAACAAACACAAATACACCATTGTTCGTTCAAGCTCGATTCATTTACGCCCCTACTTACAAGAAAGGGGATTTTAGGGAAAGAAAATGAATGTTCCTAGTGGGTCTAGACTCTAAAACCCATAACATAATAAAATAAAATAAAATAAAGACGAGTAATTTGACTAACCGGTCAAATATAATTGCTCATCATATGTGTCGGAATCGTCTTTCGGTTGGGTCCCGGAATTGGGCTTCGACTTGGAAAATGTGGATTGGGAGTCGTCACCGACCAATTTAGAGCGAATTTAGGTGGGTCGGACACCATCTTACTTGATCTGTGTTGTACTAGAAACGTGTCGAGTTCGGGAGTCGGTTACGGTCAAGGAAGGATTAGCATCCTTGAACCGCCCTTTCGGTACCAATTAATTTGTAGGTTGTCTTTAATTGCGAAAATTAAAAATTTTAATTTAATTTTTAAAAAAACCCTATTCGAATTACTTACCTCTGATTGGTTGAAAATTTTCTAAATGAGTCAAAAATGTTAGATAAAAAAAATATTAAATAAATAAATCACAGAATAAACATGAAAATAAATAATAATAATAATAATAAAATAATAAATTAAAGGAAAAAATAAAAATAAATAAAAATAAATAATAAATAATAATAAAAAAATAAAAAAATAACAAATAAAAAAATACTGAAACTTAACTATTATGGTATACTAATGTTATTTTCTTCAACTATTGATAATGGTACTTATATGATGTATATGTATTATTAATAATTAAAAAATAAATAAATAAATAAAATATTAAACACTTTAACCGTTCTAAACTATTAAGAAAATAAAGTTAGTATTATTGAAATTAAAAAAGGTAAACTAAAAATAGATTGAATTAATATAATAAGAAGTTTTTAAATTCAAAATAGTGAAACATGTGATGGTGTGGGGGCAAAGTGAGCATGATGGCAGACATAGGACCCACCAATCTTGAATATTGCGTTTTCATGGACAAATTTGTTCTTACTATTATTTCTTATAATAATTAAAAGTAGGTAACTGCATTAACTTGTTCAACCTTTTTCCATTTTCGTTTTTCACTTTTACAAAACGAGATCTACAAATTTTCCAGAAACACTCCGGCCTTGTTTCAACCGAAAAATATCCTAACAACGTAGATCTACAAATTTTACCTTTTATGTCTCGTTTCTTCGATGGTGCGTGGAGGCTCTGACGACCATAATAGGTCTTCTCTCCCTTCTTTTCCTTTTAGTTTCCTCGTAGTATTTCTTGCGTCTTTTTTCTGGGTATTTCTTTTGAATACTCCTCGTCGTATTTTTTGTATTCTCTGCCCACTGTTTTGAATGCTTCCCGTATTTTTTGTCTCGAGTATATTTCGTGACT